AGGACAGGCAGGGTTCCGGGGGTCCCCGGGGTGCGGAGGGGCCAGCTCCCGCCGCCCCAACGTTCCCTCCCGCTGCTGCCTTCCCAGCAGTTCTCCCCACCCTCTCGGCCCGTCCCAGCGGCTCCGCTTTCCCCAGCAAAGAGGAGGCAGTGGAGCTTGCCTGACATTGCAGGCGTCGTGTGCTTCAGTGGGAACCCCGTCTGTCCGTCCCGTTCTCTGCTGCGTTCTTGTCCCACACCAAGGTGCTGCTTGATCACTGGCACCATAACGATCCGGCCCTGTAAAGCCTCTGAGACCTATAGAAACGGAGAGGCTGTTCCTCCCTACTGCGCTTTACAGCAGCAAGAGGAGTGTGGTCAGATTCATCTCTGCCAAAGGTTGTCCCCGATGCCTTTAGGCTCTGGAGAAGTGCCCTGTGAAAGAGCCTTCTTTCTGCATTTTGAAGAGCTTCACCTAGAGGAAGTAACTTTGTCTTTGTGGCGTGTACGGTACTTAAACCCAGGCCTTTTCTATAGGTGAAGTTCCTTTGCTCTGGTTTCTACAGCATACTGGTGGGTATGTGTGTGAGTGCGCTCTGACCCTTCGCAGGCAGCAGTCAAGTGCCAGAAAGCCCTGAAGATGCAAGAGCTGGAGGAGTCTCCTGTCTGTAGGCTTCCAGCCTCTCCTCTGCCAAATTGTCATCTCTTTGGATTTGGGCAATATTTTCCTGCTTAAAATGTCTGTTAAGTGGATTCGTGTTTGTTAGCGTGGTTTGAATGGTTGTGCGGTGTAGGGTCTCTGAAGTCCCAGTCCGTTACTGGTAGGTGAGAGGGAATGTCATTCCTCTGCTGACCTGCTCTGTCTGCGGTGCCGCTGACGTTGTTGGTCCTGGCTCTGCCAGTGCTGCACCCGTTAAACTCTTGCTGGTGGTAGGTTGCCACGCGGTAGTGGAAACAGGTGTATTGGTGCAGTGTGGTATGTCCTGAAACCTGGGGGGAGGAGAGTCGTGTGAGCAAGGCAGGGAGGTCCCAGGGCTGCTCAGGAGCTCCTCCCTTACAGCCATGCTCCCTCTCCTCCCAGCGTCGTGCCTTTCAAACAGAGGAATCTGCCTCTTGAAAAGGTGTTGATTCTCTACCAAGCGGCATCAGATCAGATTTAGAAAAGACCTTTTGAATGTTGACTTCGCTAAACTGGTGTCAGTCGCACAGATGGCTCTCTGCATTCCTCTTCCCATCCCCATTTTTTTACCCTGAAGGAATACTAGGCTGCCAGACTAGCGTATTCTTGTACTGCTTTGCTGCTGAGGAATGGTGATTTTTGGATCCACCGTGAGCAAGGTGGCTGGAATTTGGTTTGTGCTTAGTGAGGAGGTTGCTGGGTAAGAAAAGGAACGAAGGGGCAGTGGCTTCTTCTCATGGTCATAAGGACATTGAGAACACGGCTTTGTAATTTGAGGCGCTGGGACGAGAGAGGTATGAGATGGCGAGCAGAGTGCTTGGCCAGGAATTAATCTGACAGGCAGGAAGGAGTGAAACATGACTGAGAGTTTGGAGTTAAGTGTCTAACCTTTTTGCAGGCTGCGGATACCTTGGCTGTGCGACAGAAGCGACGGATCTACGATATCACGAATGTCCTGGAAGGCATCGGGTTGATTGAGAAGAAATCCAAGAACAGTATCCAGTGGAAGTGAGTGACAGAGCAGCTCTAAATCGTTCACAGGTCCCTTCTAGTCCCAGGTCCTGTCAGATGCGTGCCTTTTTCCTCTTCAGGCAAGCAGGGCTTCATGAGGCTGTTGTCTAAGTGACGCTGTGGTTAAAATGCCCTGCTCAGAGCAAGGTTCCTTGGTGGTCTGTGCATGCTTGTACTTCCCCCAGCTGGGCTATGCTGACAGTAGTAATGAGGAAAGCTGAAGTACGTATGGCGTGTCTCTTTTACAGCGGAGCTGTTATTTTGGTACAGACTAAGTATTTGCAACGCCTTGGGCTAGAAAAGATGCCTGTCATGGCACTGGAGATGAGGGAGAGCCCTTCCAGTCTGTGGGATGTAGGCAGATGTACCGAACGTTGCTGTGCTGGAAGGTGGGGATCTAGAGTGGGTACAGATGAGGCTTTCCAGGTGATCTGGCCTTGATGCATGACAGAGGTGGCAGTAAGGGAGGTGGCAACCTCTCTGAGAGGTTGGGGCTGGTCTGGGTGCCTCCAGAGGCTGATGCATGTCACTTCTTTCCACTTTGCGCAGAGGAGTGGGTCCTGGCTGCAACACACGTGAAATAGCTCACAAACTTATTGAGCTGAAGGCAGACATAGAGGACCTAGAGCAGCGGGAACAGGAGCTGGAGCAGCAGAAGATGGGGGGTCAGCAGAGCATCAAAAACGTTACAGAAGACGTGCAGAACAGTCGATATCCTTTGTGTGAACTGATTACTCTGTCTCCGTGTTCGCTTGCTGGCCTGGAAAGCAGAGACCTAAGGGCCCTGCTCAGGGCAGAGGGGTGGTGGTAACCTGTTGTTGCTGGAGGATCTGCACTGTGATGGTCAAGAGGCAGTGCCTGCCTTCGAAATTAAGGTAACTCTGTCCAGCCTGGGAACCAGCTTTCTCTGCGGTGCATGGCTTCTTGTCTGCCTTTTTGAAGTAAAAAACACTGTAATGTTTACCATGATGAGAAAAGTACTTCTCTCTGAGCCACAGGTGCCGCTTTCTTGAGTGCAGAGCTGCTCCTGTGGCTTGCCTATCGTAGGATGTCAGCTCTGACAAGCTTGCAGACCTTGCCTGCAGACCACTTCAGAGCATGGCATGGAGAGCCTTCTGGGAATGGCATTTCTTGTGCTCAGGAAGGAAACGCCAGGTGCCCTTTGAGTTCTCTGTCTGTGCAGGAAGCTGCAGCCTTTCTCCTTAACCTCGGAAACATTAGCGTATGTGACACATGAAGATATCTGCAAGTGCTTCACAGGTGAGGAAATGGTGCTCCATTGTAAAGATGTAACGCTGCAGTCCTATCAGTCTGTCCCAGCTGCTCTTCTTTCTCCAGGAATGAGGCACCATGGGCTGCCCAACATCATCAAGTTAAATGTAGTACAAGCTCTGATGCCATCCTGGGTTTGTGTACCACTAAGTTGTTGCTTTCTTGTCAACATCGGAGGGGGCAGGCCGTTTCTTTTCCTTGTGTTTAAAGGAACATAGCTGCTATTCCTAAGGAAGTCTTTTTGCTGGGTGTCACTATGTGGATGTATGTGTTATGTTAGAAGCTTTTGAGGACTTGGGTAGGCAATGTTCTAATAATAGGAAGCAAATTTTATTGCATGGCAGAAATCCAGGTGTAAGCAGGAAAACAATATTAAAAGTGATCCCTCAGCTGCATCATGCCCTCTACCAACAAGAATGCAAGGAGGAGGTAGCGAAGAGCAGGACAGAAGGGAATACGCTGCTTGCTGTGACCTCACTCCCTTGTGTACTGCCTTCCTAGAGCTGTGAGGTGCCATGTGTTCTGCCTCTGTGGGGCAAAAGTGAAGAAAACCCACAGGAGTCTCTGTTTCTTTTCTATTGCCAATTTTAATGATAGCTGTAGGACGAAAAAAAAAAATCCCCAGTGGCCAGCGTGCAGTACGGCACCCTGCAGTACATAAACTGTTCTCAGCTGTAGCGGTGTGGAGTCGCAGCTCCTTTCTGCTTCGGTGGACACCTGACCTCTCCTGACTCCGCGCAACCTGCATCTGCTGGCTTGCAGCAGGGGTTGAAGCTACTTATCCTGACCTCCCCCAGCCATGCCGAATCTCACCCTTGTCTGACTCTCTCCTCTCTTCCCAGCACTCTTCTCACCCTATACTTCATCAGCTCTTGTTTTTCATCTTTGCCTTTGTGTGCTTTCCGTGTTCACCAGACTTTATACTGCTTGAGTTCCTGCTGGTAACTTATGCATCACCACCCCCTTTGCGTTACTGTTTTTTCTGATTTAAGCTAGCACTTTTTGGGGGCAGGGATTGTGTTTTCAGTTTGACAGTGCTTGGGGCCAGATAACTCATAACAGTCTGGAAGAGTTTGGTGGAGACCAGCAGACAGCTTATTGCCTGGTTGATTGAGTGTTTTGCATTTTATTGCACCTGTTTTTTGTAAACGAGTTTGCATCTGAAGTCAGACCTCACCAAAATGCACAGAGAAGATTAGATCTTACTGAGGGCAGATCTGAATTCCTCACAGAACAGAGGCTTGATCCATGTTTTTCCATTGTCTGTTCAATGTGTGCCCAGTTTTGCTGTATGAATATGCTTTACGTCATTTTTTTTTTTCCTCCCTGAAGTGTCTGAGCCTTGCAGAGGTTCTTTGTTGGACCTCTTGGGTGCTTGAACTGTGGTGCAGGCTGAATTTCAGCTCCTGTTTTGTTTTGTTTTTCTGATTGACTGCTATTGAATTTGCTTTCTCAAAGTGAGTTAGGGCTTGAAGATTTCCATGCTTGGACTGTTGTCAAATATGGATTGATTATTTGGATTAATTTAAAAAAACATGAGAATGTGTTAGCTTTTAGTGACTGGGGAACATAATTTTCCCATCTGTTATGGTGATGCATTTTGCACTTGCAGAATCAAAAAGGAAGTGGAAGCACACTGTACACTGTTTTGTAGAAGTATTTGGGATGTAACTCCTATCAAGGGAGTTAGAAACACAGCACCTGTATTCTTGAAGCTAACAGGTCTTAAAGCTTGATTATGCATTTCTAATGTTTTTTAACAATATTTTTCTTCAACACATATTTGTTAAAGGAAGCCCCATCTTTTTGACAAATCCTGTGGTATTTTTAATCTCTGTACGTTTTGCTGATCTGACCTTTATTTGCCTGCCTGAAATTAAAGGATGTGCTCTTCTGCTGTCCACTCTCTCCCATCACTCTGGGGATCTTCTGTGTTAATTATCAAGTGAAGCTTAACACAGAATACTGGTGAAGTGTGAATACTAACCACACCAAAGCTTAAACATTCAAAGTGAAAGCTGCTAACTGCTCAGTCAGAAAATGTCTAATGTTCTACAGCACTGGTATTTCTCTGTTCACGTTTCTCTAAACCCAGATATGGAATGGAAGCTGCTCGCCTGTGACTGTTGTGTTATTAGGGGCACAGGTCTTAAGGAGCTGCAGCACTTGAAAACGAAAGATGCTGTCAGCCTGGCTCCCAGCCCTGTGTGTGCTGGGCTCTGTGCAGAGTCCAGTACAACTAACTCCGGGCGGCTCTCTTGCCAGTAGAGACTGGAGAATGTTGGTTTCGGGTATTGGTACTCCAGCATGAGGCTGCTGTGCTGCTGGCAGCCTGGCTCCTGAGCCTAGTTGGACACCATCTCTCCACTGGCAGTGCAGCTCTTTGAGTTGTGTGCTCTTTTGTTTATAATTCACATCTAAAAGCCTGTGACAACAGGATGAAGGATCCTTCCCTTAGGATTCAGATGTTCTTAAGAGTGAATTTAAGCCAGCCCTTCTGAGAGAAAGAAAGGTTAGTCCTGCTAAGGATGCTGCTAAAAAAACTGTAGGGTTGCTGTGGGAGAAACTTCACAGGTTCTGTGTGCCCTGGGCAGTTGGCACACTGGGAGCTGTATGATATGCTTAGCAACTGAGGTGGTTGTAAATGGCAATCCTCCACGGAAGGGAGCACAGGAGACAGGGAACTTTGAGGAGGGGCTCTTTGTCAGTGCTTAATTATCATCAGAATAGTTTGTGCCAGCTGAGTGCTGACCAGTCTGTTTTCACAGGAGACACCCTCCTTGCGATTCGAGCCCCATCAGGCACGCGTTTGGAGGTTCCCATCCCTGAGGTGAGTGATAAATGCATGGGCAGAGAGTAGGAGTGTCTGCGCACGTGCGTGTGTGTGTGTGTGTTGAGGTGGGGGTTGTTGCTGGATTGACCAAGCTGGGAGCTGGCAGTCAGGGGTTTGATAGAGTTGGAGCGACTGGCAACCCAAGGAAGGCTCTGGATATTAAATAATTGCCAGGAAACTCTGTTGTTTGGAAGTACATAAGCAATTGCACTAGGGGAGAAGATAGTCCTGGGAGTCAGGGGAATTGTGTGTGGAACCGTGCTGAACTGTCTGGACAGCATGTCTTGCCTCTGGGAAATTCCTGTTCTGTTTGAAAAGGGCATTTAATGTATGGTTGCGTTTTGCTTTTGACTTTTCTCAGGGCCTAAATGGGCAGAAGAAATATCAGATCCATCTGAAGAGCACAAGTGGTCCCATCGATGTTCTCTTAGTAAACAAAGATGCTTGGAGCTCTCCTCCTGTCGTACTACCTGTCCCTCCCCCTGAAGACCTCATTCAGTGCCAGGCAGTTGCACCCTCAAAACCGCAGATCGCACCACTCACCCACTTCCAGGAGGCATCCGTTCCCAGCAGCACCCAGCCCTCTACGCCGACACCTACCAGCACTCAGGACCATAGCCCTCCTGTGCAGAAAGCTGCAAGCACAGGTGAGAGGGAGGTTGCAGGAGGCAGAAACGGGATAGTGGCTGACAAAGGAGAGTACTTTCCTTGGCCTGGCTGGGGCTGGCACTGCTGGTTGTGCAGCATTGTCAGCTCCTGGCAAAGGGGCACCTCTGCCTTTGCTGCAGGGAGCCTTTACTTTTGTCTTGATTAGTGGGACTGGCTGTGTTAATGGAAATAAGACACTTGGCTTGAGGGGGTGGTGCCAGCCCGTAGGAGCAGTGGTGGGGGAAAGACTGATCACGCAGATACATTGATTAGTGGAAGTTTGTAAAAGGGCCTTTTTGAGTTTCAAGTTCAACTTTCAGTTTGAAAAAAGACTGTTAAAAATACTAGATTAGGTTGGTTGTGGCTTTGTCCAGCCAAATTTTGAAAGCCTCCAGCAGCGGAGATCCCCAGCTTCCTTGGTGAGCTCTTCCAGGACTGCAGCACCCTCTCAGTGAATTCCTTTTTCCTCATGTCTGGATCCTTTGATGTGCATCTCGTGCCTGTTACATCGTTCGGCACCACTGAGAAGTTCTTAATTTTTGTAACTGCCTTTCCGGTAGCTGCAAGCTGCTGTTAGATTGCCCTTAGACTTCTCTTTGCTTGACTGAACAAGCCCAGCTCCCTCCATCCCTCCTTGTAGGCCATGTGCCCTAGACCCCTCGCCAACTTGGTAGCCCTCAGCTGGATCTTCTCCACATCTTTCTTGAACTGGAGGATGGCCAAAGCTAGACATAGTATTCCAAGTGCAGCCTCAGCCCCAAGCAGGAGGATAGTAATTTCCCTTAGTGAGCTGGCCACGCTTCTTCTGGTGTAGATAACTACCTGGCTTGTATTAATTGCTGTGAGAGCATGGTCTTAGCTTATGTGCAGCCTGGCACCAACAAGACTGCTCTCCAGCAGAGCTGCAGCAGGACCTGGGAGTTTTTACTGGGTGAAAGCAAGAAGCCTTCTTCCTATGCAGCTGTCTGTGCTTGGCCAGCATGGCCAGTGAGGGTTGAGTCTGTGCTGCAGCTGCTTGCTTTGGGGCTGGAGGGAGATGACATTCCTGTGTGCGTCTGTGGCTCTTTCCAGAATGCAGCGTCTCAGCGGCAGAGTCCAAGAGCAGCGGCGACTTTGACCCCCTCAGCAATGCGCCTCCATCGGCCAGCCAGCCGGCCGGGTTAGATACCCAGCCGCTGCAGTCCTCTGCCTCGCTGGACAGCAGCTCCGTCCTACCCAGCCCCTCTACCTCCTTCGAGCCGATCAAGCCCGATCCCACAGGAAGTGAGTATGCGCCCTCGTTTTCACGTGTTGCTCCAAAAGCATGCTGCTTGGAGCGAGGGAAAGGCTTCTGGCCCTGGAGGAAGGAGCTGAACTCTGTTCTGCCTTTGCTGTCAGCCAGGCTCTGCAAGGGATGAGTAGGCATTTGCCTGTGAGGGTGCTGGGGAACTTGGTGAGTGTGACTGTGTTGTGTCTAGTGTCCTGACACTTTCTGTGACACCAGTACTAGAAAATCTGCAAGAGGCACTTGCATGACACACGTCTCTGCTGTTATAGGTAGGATTATTCCCTTTCAGTCCCTTCTGTAGTGCTAGGTCCAATTTTTGAGACTGCATGAAGCTATAGAATTTCCAGCCATCACTCAGAACACCTTCGTAACTCGTGGGGAGTTTTCCTTTATTAGGAGACCTCTTGTCTCTGTTTTCCTCCTCTACTCCGGAATACTTCATCTATCTTTAGTGATCTTGTGGTCTTAATGATCTCGCAGTGTATGTTTGGGGAGCTCCTTGATGTGCTTGGTGAGGTGAAATGGGCTTTAAAAAAGGAACATTTGAGCTTTATGCCAGGAAATGGCAGGTTGGCCCAAGGAGGGAAGAGCATCTTCTGGGTAAGACGCGCTGCTTTCATGTTTTGAAGCCTACCTTCGCTGCAGAAACTCTGTAGGATAGAGAGTTACGGTTAGAAGAGGAAATCTTGCCCAAATATAGCTCACGCAGTGCTTTTTTCACGCTTCTGCTGCTAGCATGTCTGAGAGAAGAGTGAACTGCCTGTCTTCATCTTGGAGTAGTCTTAATTGTGGAATTAGGCCTTTGGCGTGTGTACAGCTTACCATAGCCCAGTGGGCCTGTGCTGACTGTCTAAAGGCATGCCCTCATCCTACACAAGATAAATTGAGGTGCTGACGCCGTGTGAGGCTTACATTTACAGGCAATTACTGTAGAGCTGCTGACTGTGATAACACGTTCATGTCCCGGGGCTCCTACAGATCTATTTTAAAGTAGTCGAGCTTAAGTATTTTATTGCTTATCATTTCAGCAGAACTATGTGACGTGGGGTGTGGAAGCAGAATTTCTGGATGGCATAGAATGATTTGGGTGTGTAAGGAGTACAGTAGGACAGTAGGTGATTATGCTGTAAAGCATTTCAGACTCTTCATGTAATGATGCAAACCATTTGGTTTGTTGTATTTGCAGTACTGGAACTTCCCAAAGAGCTGTCAGAGATGTTTGATCCAACGAGAGGTATGTTCACTCCCTGACCACGGCTTTGTTCTGTGCCCATCTACCCACAGAAGTGGGACAGTTTGTTTTATTCTCTCCCTTTTGGATTATTTGGGGGATGTGGTTTTGTAAGGTGCTTGTGGTCGTTGGTGGCTGCTGGCTCTCTACTTGTAGTTAGGCACTCTTAAAACTACTGGTTTCTGTACGTATTTTTCTGTCTTCATGTTGCCAGCAACCTCTGTTAAGAGTTTGCCCTTCAGTGTGTAGATGAGGGCTTTTCCTTCCCCATGCCAGTGCTAATCTGTGCTCTGGCTTCCCATGCTCCTTCTCCAGCTTGTCTGCACACAAGAAAAATCCCTGTTAGTCTTGTTTCAGCTGTAGCCTGCCCGAGGCTAATCCAAGCAAATAATCTAGGGAGATAGTCTTCTGTCTTCAAAATATCCCTCTGTGGTTTTGGTGGTGCTAGTAATTTTGGAGCAGTAGGGGAGGGGATGCTGTTACTTGGGTTACAAGTTCTGCCTCTGCCCAAGGAATGCCTGGGTGTTGTTGCCTAATGGTGGGACAGACTCTGGGCTAAGGGCAGGAGAGGTGAAGGAATGTGGTCTAACATAAGCCTAAACTGGGGAACTCTTTATCTGCCCATTTATTTCCCTTCAGTGCTGGCAGAATAATTTCTAGCCCCGCAGCTAGGCAGAGCTGAGTACACACAAGCACTTTTGTGGTGGTGACAGGATATGTACAACAACAGTCCCTAGTTCTGTGCTCTGGCAGGCGCTTTGTGAAAGCGCTGTCTTTGTGTAAAAACCCCACGGTCCCAAATGCACGTGCGCAACCGTCTGCTCTGTGTGCTAGGAGCCCTGGGCTCCACCGTCGGCCTGGAGAACACCTTTCCTCCTTGCTCAGCACCCGCTGCTGTAGACAGTGGATAAAGTCTTGGTAATGACTGAATGCATCTGAAGAGTAAATTTGACTTTGCAATGTGAAACAAACTGAAACAAACAGCCCATGTAGAAGATCTAGCTTAACCCAAATTAACTCTACTATGGGACTAAGTGGACACTATTAAAAAGGAGATGTTTGCTGTCTACGGTAATGTATGTTGCTTTGTGGAGTGTTCTTCCCAATTTGGAGGGGGAAGGTAGAGATCCGGGAGCGAAGGACAAAACAGTCAACAGCTACAGAGGCAAAGCTCGGGACTGGAAAAAAGCAACACTACAGAGCTTGGAGAAAAATGGGCCTTGCAGTGTGCTCCGTGCGGCCCCTCTCATCTCTGTGTGATCCCAGTAATGTTGCCCTGGCATCGGCTGCTGCTTTAAGGCTATGCAGTTTAAGCTGCAAGAGCCCAGAGTTCTTCCTTAGTGTTTTGTATTGGAATTACTTTTTCTGTATGGTTTTCTCTCTCTTTTAAATGAGTGCTTAATAACTGCTTGTTTTAAACTCATATCCTGGAAAAATCCTGAATTTCAACATGCACATATGCACACCCTGCTATGTTACCAGCCCTGATCTAAGACTGCAGGTTCTGCATTTAATTACTATTTATTGAAGCTGGTATTAGTCCTGTCTAGTCACTTGATGTTGAAATTTGCTCATCTCATGGCACTGAATTAGACAGGTAGGTTCCTGTCCTCTAGGAAATAGTCTGCTGTGGATACATGTCTTGAAAAAGCCTATTTCAAGTGCGGGTAGTATCTCATCAACCAGTTAGACTGAGTTAGATATTCATGATCTTAACTTGGTAAAGTGAGAGGTATTCAGAAAGTTGTTTTCAAATGCTCAGCTTCTTAAAGAAAAGAGATGTACTTGCGCATGCTTTGCCTGGGTGCTTGTCTGTCTACCCTTCAAGTGCCTCATGAACCTACTAGCCAAGAGTAGCAATGCTGGAGGAAGGAATGACATTTCAGAGATAATTAATTTTTTTACAGTTTTGTGGGGGCAGTAGAGGGGAGAGCAGAGTTAATGGCCCATTCAGGAAGGATATGCAGAGTTCAGATGTTCATTCTCTTCGACAGCGGGTAGCCACCAAATCTGCCAGGGCATGTGGCTGCGATAGCCACAGCACAGCCATGGGGCAAGGGGACAAAATTAGGGGGACAAAGGACACAAATCTGGAGGAAACTGGAAGTTCATTAGTTCTACTGCTCCTGGAACAGCTCATTTGGCTTTTAATTTTCATCCCGTTAGCAAAGTTGGTGGGTAATTGAGGACTGTGACTATGGCAGGCTTTACCAGCTCAATTTCTGGTGCGTGTTGAAGAGTTTCCTTTGGAGGAGTTTGGGGCACCAGCTAGCGTGCCAGCGCAGGGGTAAGGCACAGCGCGTCACATGGAGACTGGCATATGGTTGAGCTAAAGCAGGCAGAAACCTCCTGCAGAATTTTTTGATGTTGCTTGAAATGTCTGACACCGATTTCCCTTTGCCCATGGCAGAAGGCCAAGGCCTCCTTTCGCCACTGCCTGCTGCACACGCTGCGCCTTAGCCAGAGAAGGGATAACAAGGGTGAGAGCCAGAAGAGGCTGGGAAGGGTGGGATACTGCACAGGAGCAGACCAGGAAAGCAGAGTGTGTTGCTTAACCATGCTTGTCTCTTCCCCAGAATGTATGAACTCTGAGCTGCTGGAAGAGCTGATGTCATCGGAAGGTGAGTCTTTGAGTCTCCCCCTCATGGTGTCGCCTTTCCAGGGGAGGAAGACCGTCTTGTGTGACTTTACCCAGCCGACAGTCTTGTGACTGCAGGCTCGCCCTCATTTTTTCTGGGCTCTGGACACAGACTCCGTTCTCACTGTCCTGCCAGTCCCTGAGAGAGGTGCGAGGACCAGGAGAGCCTGTCTCTTCCATATCGCAAAGCTGATTTGAAGCAAGCTCCAAGACTCTTGCTGTGAGGTGGCCTCCTCATGGCTCCGCAGCTCAGCGCCCATTGGCAGCTCTTGGCTAGGTGTGGGAGTGCCGAGTTTTGTAACCAACTGTAGGATTCTCTTTCCCCAGTGTTTGCTCCCTTGCTCCGCCTCTCCCCTCCACCTGGAGATCATGACTACATCTATAACCTTGATGAGAGCGAAGGCGTCTGTGACCTCTTTGATGTGCCTGTCCTCAACCTCTGACTTCTCAGCGCGGCTGTGAGCCTTGCAAACACAGACCGTTTTGTAACTCTTTGGAAAGTGTCTATTTTTGGATTCCTTTTGTGCTAGAGCTCAATGAGTGAGCGATTCAGAGATGCTCTCATATGGACTCAGAACCAAGAGATGTGGACTTGCAGGCCGGGAGCCTCCCCGTAACTTCTTCCTCTTCCTCTGTTGCACGTGCAACTCGTGTCGCCACATCTCTCTCTCCACTGGATCCTGGGCCTCACTTCAAAGGGTCTGTGTTTTGAGTGTTCCCAGTTCACCCGTAGAGTTTGCCCATGTGCCTCTCCGAGCTTCCTCAAATCTGCATGCCTTGGTTTTTCCTGCACTCCTAGAGGCACTTTGCACCTCCTAGGTACCAGCTGCTACAAGGAGCCCTAATATCGTGGTCAGTTCACAAGCCCGGAGGTAGTTAGCTAGATTTTTCAATGTGAGCAGTTCAGACTGGGGTGGTTATATTTCTGAATGACAACAAGGGGAAAAAAAAAAAAATATGGCACCAAAGTGTCCATTTCTTCCAGTGACTCCACACCAAGCTACTATGTTTTACAAGAAAAAGCACTTTTTTTAGCCAGCTGTGCCTCCTAGTGGGACTCAGGAATTGAGCATTCCTAGTAGGACCCAGGAGCTGAGTCTTTCCCTGCTTGTGCATCAGCAAGAGTGCTGGTTCTGCATTCACCAGTCTGCTGATGGGTGAGCCCGGGGGTTCCAGCTCCTTGTACAGCAGCTGTGCTGTTTTTACAGGGCTAAAGCATAGGTGCCAGTATGTTTTTATTTTTGTTTTAATTTTTATCTGTTTTTGCCTGAGTGAAGAGATGTTTGAAAGGATAAGACTGCTCCAGCTGGTGCCTGTAAGGTACTCCAGGTACGTCAGAGCCTGCTCATATTTGCAAATAGCTGTCTTCTCCAACCATTGCACTTGAGCCTTCAACTGTCTAAAAGGCGACCAAGCAGGAACAACTCAGTAGTACTTCACCGTGACAAGTTATGTAGGTGTTGTCAAAATAGTGCTTTTTTTCCCCCCTTTTTCTCTCTTAGAATCTGCTCAGGATCAGGCTTTCTGTATATTTGAATTTGCTCCTCTAGTGTCCATACCCACACTCCCAATTCCTGATCCTGTGGGCAGGTCGCTACCTAGTGTGATGCTTTCTCCGCATCATTTCTCCGCAAGATTTTCGTCATTGCTTTGTAATGGAAGGTCTGCTGTTGGGTTCGTTATGATGATCAGGTGGTACCGGTCTTGGACCCTGGTGCATTTTAGTTGAAGTAAAACATCCTGATGGATTTGTGTTGTATTTTGCAAGACCCAGCTTTGGTTTTTGGTCAGATCCTGTATTTGAGTGTCTTCAGTTTTGCACATCTTCCTGCCGATGTGGTGGTAGCAGCTGTCCTGCCTTTCCTGCTCCACAAACTGCTGAAGAGAGAGCCAGGCCCGGAGCATGGCTGGCCATAGCAGAGAGGTAGCTTGCAGCCATCCACATAACCAGCTGATGTTTAACTTCTCCGCTTACCTGCTCACCACCTGTGAACCACACAACCAGCTGGAGCACCAGCAATAAGGGATGTGAAGTCTTCAATTCTTGGAGCCCGCAGAGGTGAGAAGAGTATATGCTTGGGACCTGCGTCCCTGAGGTGGCTCCTTGGGCCATCCTATTCTGTATGGGACTCCTCCAGAAGAGCTGTTCCTCTCTGCAGCCCTGAAGCACCCACATCCTCTTGGGAAAAGCGTGAAGAATTCAGGAGGAACAACGGGATGCCCTAGTTTGGGCAGCTGCTGCTGGCGAGACAGCCGTGGCATGGGACCCCGCCGGGGGGTGAGCTTCTAGCCCGCATGCAGCCAGTCCCTGAACCTTCCCCCCGTCGCATGGAAGCTGACCGGCACCCTCGGTCCTGCGCGTGCGTTAGCTAGCCTCCGTGGCTTTGGTGTAGCTCGAGCTCTCCGTGTACTGCCTGGCCCTCGCCCTCCTTCCAAGTGTTTGTGTTTGACACCAGTTAGACAACCTTTGGAAAAGGATACCTAGAGAAAAATTTACAGTCGCAAATGAACTTTTGATTCATATATAAAGATTATTTTTATACTTTTTTTGCAAGGAAAGGAAATTGCCTGTAATATTTGTACAGTGTTCTCTGACGTGAATAAACAAAAAACTTTCCAGAGTTTCCCCCCCTGCCTCGGCCTGTGCCTCACCTCTGCTGGGCCCGGAGGGACGGGGCGCCCCGAAGAGCGGGGTGCCGGCCGTGCCCCTCACCCACGGGCGGGGCCCGGCCCTTTCCCGGCGGGAG